CAGCTCTAAATAGTTGGCAGTTAAAAGTTTTATACAGAAAAATGAAAACTTAATGATTCATTAACTGTAGTTTAGGGACTCAATGAGAGTTCACACATTTACTTAAGCTTCATTGACCCTTTGCTCCAGTATCGTTGTCTGAACTACTTTGCATTTATCAAGCAATCGGCACTGACCAGCTCTATGTGTGGAAACCAGTAAAGCATTAAAACTTGCTTAAATAATTGTTCTATCTTTTTCATTTGAAAAGGTATTATATATATTTTTGAAAATATATTGGTTAAAGTTAAAGCTTCACTCACTCCCTTACGTGTGGTGCAGGTAACACAAAAACATTTCCACTGCAATGCATAGCCGAGAAATGATCAACCAGGGTAAGGATTTTTAGAAAGCAGACATTTGGGGGATAACTGGAAACATGTTTTAGGAAAAAAAGACATCAACTGAAGTTTTTTTTTCCTTTCTTCACAGAATTAAACAGCATTTTAAAAAGAGACAACTCAGTATATCCAGGGACCCTTTGAAATCAAATGTGTTTAATTAGAAGCAAAAGATCTTAATTAAGAGGTAATTTGAGTTATTTTATACACATCTAACAATTAATATTTTGACCGACCCCTTAATGACATGTTGGTTCTACTAGACCTGTAAAGGTGTGATGTAGAATTTCATGCCAAGATATTAGGAGCTACTCTGGTATGTCCTGTTAGTTGTAAATGTGACTTTCTGTGGCTCAAGCTTCTTTTTTCACTTTATCCCACATTTGAGCAACTAATTTCAGTATGAGGACCTCAATCCACCTCAACACCGTAACCTTCTTTGTTCTAGTCCTAAGACCTCTCCTGGACCACTTTGGCATCATGGCAGAATGCATTATCCTTTTCAAAGAGCCCAAAACCGACAGGGAATATGTTTTCCATTAAAGGGATTACATAGTTACAATTCTTGGTAATTGGTAATAGGTGTCACATGAATGGCATGACCCAAGGATTCTTAGCAGAACTTCAGGTAAATGATGCACCTACACAGTATATCCATGTGTAGTAAAAAAAAAAAAATATGACCAGGCCAACTTCCTCCATGGTTCCATTTGGATTCTACATAAATTTTATACAATTTTTAGGAGTGAACAGGGGCTCAGCATGAGCAAACTCAGTGGTTTGTGCACTTATATTCTGAAATCTTTCCATCAGAATCAATATTTCAGCAAGAACGTGTTGATAATGATGTGTCAGAACTTGGAAGAAATTTGTAATATTCATTCATTAATAAAGATTAAATGCTGAGTGACATGTCTGAAAAGAGCAATAACCACATACAGAGATGTTGTGTGTCTCCTTTACTTCAAACATCAAATCCAAAAAGAGTTGGGACCTTTGATGACAAACGCAGTAAAACCTTCTAACATAAATGATTCATTGGTAAGAAGACAGACTTTGCCCAGGGACACAGGCAGCAGTGTAATCCATTTAAAAAGTATTTCATTAGTGTATATTGCACTTAAAGGAGACTGCCCTGAAAATCATCATGAGAAAAAATGGGTCTGAATATCAGTTTCATCAACTCCTGTAACAATTGAAAGCAAACAGAAAATAGGAAATTTTGATGAGTTTGGACAGACAGCTGACTGAAACAAAAAAAAAAAATGTCTCGCTAACAGGAGTGAAAGAAGCTCAAGTCAGGACCTTTTTCTGCAGAGCTGTTAATTAGAAGCAAGTCTCTGTTTTACACCAAGTGTGCACTCAGTACATAACACTGGGCATGAAAACTGAACTGAAAATGTGATAATGACCAGTAATTTGCATAAGGAACAACACCAGAAGGTTAAAATGGTGCTGACAGGGGAAACAGTTCTGCTGAAGTGCTTACACTACAATAAGTGTTATACAGTTCAAAGTGGAAAGTGAAAAATCAATGGTCCCAGCCACATGTTTTGACATACTCTTTACTGCTTCAATTTTTGTGCTGCAACTTAGCATTGACTCAATATTCACAAATAATTTTCACATCACAGAAACCCATTTTGCATTGTTTTTACCTTGCCACAGAAATAGATTTAGCACCGTTTCTAGTCTCTAGAGCGCTTTGGGACCTTTTTTTAAACATTTTCAACTCTTGGAGTGCTATGAGTAAATGTTTTATACATTTTGAAAGTATAACTTTTAAAACCTTGTTACACCTTGGTACACCTGATAGGCTCAACAGCGAGTAGAAATGATGCCAAAATCAAAACTTATTCACAGCTCAGACTTTAGAAATATTATAATTTATTCTCTAAGGCAAACGTCAGCTACAAAATGTATCTTGAGGCAAAACGCAAGTGTCTTTAGTTGTTGCAAATATGATAATACCATGTAATCCACATATATAAATTGTCTGAAAACCCCTTTGCTACAACCATGTTCAGTCAAACACTCAAGGAAAGGTTTTTGCTTGCAGTTTCAGCAGACAGACAACATAAAAGCAGCCGGGATATTTCAGGATGGTAATTATTCCTTGGGTTTGAAACTGCAGTTCTAATGGTGGCTGAAGTTCCACTTGGCTACACGTTCAATTAATTGGGAAAATACATATGCTAAGATGCAACTTGGTATGACTGAAACGAAGATCTTTGCTTAAAAAATTATGAGGAAATGTATAATTGATGCGTTTCTGAAAATTATGGAATTTCCCATTTAATTTGTCTTTGGAGCACATGTTTGGAGCGTCTCTAATTGCCTCGCCTTGATTGGTTTGCAAAGTGACAAGATCATAAAGCTGAAACATATGACTTGAATTCAGTTGCATTTTGCCCCACAGTCAAAATTTGGTGGTTGTGTTTTTTTCCTGCACTCACACAAGACATAACATTGTGCAAATACTAAATGCCATTAAAAAAAACAAAAAAAACAAAAAAAAAACAAGAAAGGTAAAAAGTTCTGGTCCAAGTTATGAGAAAGGTCGTGGCTGAGCGCATGCAGGAGATTGGGTAAGTTTGAGGCAGTGAAAATAAACTCAACAGATCATATCGCCTGTGCATTGTCTTGTCTTTCATTGTGATGGGGCAAAATCACGTTGGGGATAAACACAGTGTGAATTTTTAAGAGGTGCCTCTCCTTATTTTCATTCCATCTTATTTCACCTCAACTCAAAATGACCTTCTCTAATCTTCAGAGGTGAATATTGCCATTTTCCCAAAACTTGAATATGAAAGAAGAATGTGAGACCCACCAGGGGAGTTGAAACACAGGTGTTGAATATTACAGTATGTGCATTCCATTAGCATCTGGCAGTTTGAAGGATGTCGACGAAAATATTTAAGCAGCACAGGTCTCTGCACCTTGTTCTGAATAGTAAAGGCAACTTGGGTCTGGAACAGATTGCACACATAAGAAAATGGACATAACACGTCTGTATGACTGTGAAACCAATCAATGAATATTTCACACAAACACCCGAGAACATTATTAGCAGAGATCAGATCTTTCTTTTGCTAGTTTTCAAAATAAGTGACAACAAATCACTTGCATCTTGCTTCCAAAAAGACCCAACAAATATAAGGAGAGAGAAAGTATTATGCACAGACCACATGTGGAATGAGTCTGACGTCCAACATATTTATGCAAAAGTTTTTCTTTGTTTTGTTTTCTTTTATAAGTACGTGCAGCAGAATCACAGCAACTGATAAACAGCTCAGACATCTAACACATAAACACTGTTGTTTCTCTATTGAAACTTGAAGCCAGAAGAAGAAGTACAACAAAAGAAAAATGCACAGTAATAGCACAGACCCTCACTTAGAAATATGTCAATGCACAAGGTATAAATCATCTGCAAATGAACATATGTTTCCTGTTTAGTTCTAGACAAACTGGAATACATAGAATCCCTGTATATATTGCATTATTTAAGCCAAACAGTTTTTGATATCCTCACACAAACTGGGATTTTAGTTCCTTCCTTCTGAGGAAATTGTTTCAACTAGGTTATGTTTGTAAGTTGCCTGGCTTGCACATATTTTTTATTTACTGTATTTATTTTTCTTTACCTTTGCTTTAGGATGGAGTTTTCAGGCTTTGCAAGCTGACCTCCAAATGCAACAATGGTCACATTGTTAAGACTTCAATGTTAGTTTCATCAGACCACAGAGCATGCATTCAGTTTATCAGTAATACAGGAGATGTCTCTAAGTATTAAGGTTGAGGTTTGTCATTGAGTGCATTTAAAATTTGTACCAGAGGATTATATGTTGCATTTGGAGTAATGGGTTCCTGCTCCAACCTTGACCCTTTTTAACAAATATTTTTACCAGCTTCAGCCAGCATCTTCACAAGATCATTTGATTTTGTTCTGAGACTGATATGCAGATTTCACATTGTCGTTTAACATAAGTTTTTAAACAGATTCAGCAAAGATGGCACCTTTAGACATCTAGGATTTTTTTCCCCAAGAATTAACCAAACCTGTGGACATCCATCCTTTCCTTCCTGACACTTTTACTGATTTATTTAAATTTTCTTTGATAGAGTCATCATCTGGGCTTCACCAAATTATTTAGAGCATACAATATTAGTATCTCACTGTGTACACCGGAAGCGTTTATTGTGTCATTGTGTTTCTTTATATTTGCTAACGTATAGCACATCATATATTATTTTCCTCATGGAAACAAAGGCAAAATAAACAAATCATTAACATTGATGTTTCTAAGAATCTTTTCTTAATTTTGGTTATCGAGAGCCAATGTACCAAAAACTTGTCTAGCAGTGTTCTTAAGTAAGCAACGCTGAGGAAAAAAAAAAAAAAAAAAGAACAAAGGTTTTTATTAGATAAAAAGTGGCTCTAGCAGCAGAAAGAAGGGAGAAGTTATTTGTTCTCAAATGTTGGATGAGAAATAAAAATAATTTCAATATGATATATAATGATTGCATGACAGCTTCACTGAATAAGTAACATTTCCATGTATCTATTAGAACATACAGTTTAGTGAAAAGAAAATCTGAAACAGAACTCACATGAGGCTACTGACTGTGCTCATTAGGGTGGGTATTGATCTTTTCTTTGACTTTCAGTTCAAGCGCTAACCCGGTTCACACTTTCTGAGCACATCTTGTTGGAATCGTTTCAGAAATGAGGCTCCTGTGCAGGCTGCTCCCATTTTCATCTCTGCCTAGAGCAATACACAGAATATGTACTTAGCTCTCTTGCATAGGCAGTTTTGTTTTCATCTTCCAAAACACATATTTTTGTTGACATTGTTTCGAGCAATGAAATCGCACTGTTCTTCTTAGCTTACCATTGTAAATATTTGTCTTAGTGCAAAAACAGTATCTTTGATAAGACATGCACGGCTTACAAGAAAGCGCTGTGTTTGACAAGCGGAGTAAAAAAAAAAATGTTATCTGAAAATCTGCAAATAAAACATACTTTATTCTGTCACAGTTATGTATCTGAATCATACAGTTCAAAATGTGAAACAGCAAAACAGGTGGAGGTATTTCTTCTTGTGAGGTTTATTGGTTTCATTTTAACTGCATTGATTGCAGCACAGTAGTAGAGAGAAAACAAGACTGTAAATGGATGTTTGAAAAAAAAAAACTTGAGGATTGAGAATCAATATTTAATGAAGATGCATATTTTGGTAAAATCTGATTCTAATGTTTTTTTTTTTATTTATAGTCAAATTGTTTGACAGAATTAGGTTTTAAAAAAAACATTTAATTTTACCAACATATTTCTCCTCACTGCCACCATGACATTCTGTCAGCTCTATGTTCTTGCTGCTTTCTCATTAGAAATTCAGATTCTTGCTGACATTTCTCTTTAAAAAAACAAACTGAACTTTATGTCTGATGATACTGAGTTGATGTCTTACTGTCAGTGCACATCATGTAGAGCTGGGATGTTACCAACATGGGGGGCTGCTGCCCATCTCCAGCTGTCACTCGTTGAGAGGCAGAGTAACCTCTGTACAGTCCCTCACAGGGCTACACTGTGATACACAGGAGAAACAACACTTATACCCAAGGGCAGTTTAGAAGGACTAATTAATCTACCAGTCATGTTTCGGATGGGAAACATGACTGGACCACATCGAGAAAATAAATGAATCCACAGGGAAAAATGAAAACTCCTTAACAAAAATCTCCAGACCTGAATTTCACTCAGGATCTTCTCAATCCATTACCAAATGCAAATATAAGACAATTAGCATTTTCTATTTTCTCGTGTTAGCTTTGACTTATATTTAAATGCATTCGATCTGAAAGTGTTTAAAGGGATCAAAACTTTTGACAACACTATATAGTTCTGCCCCCAATTATTTGCCAGTCTTTCTCCTTTCTTTTTTTTGTAAGTTGTTTCAAGTCCCATCTCTTCTTAAGCTCGCTAGCGAGGGGATCAAGGTAGACATTCTACTAAGAAGCAGTAGACAGTTATTAAAATGACAGTTTGACTCCGTATCGGTTTGCTATCTTTCGGCGAAGCTCTGAAGAGAGAGACCTCTTTTCACACAGTGGAAATATAATTTCATGGCTTGTTAGATACTAAACTTGAGGAGTAAACAAAGAGGTGTTAGAGCTCATGTCTAATGGGGTCATAGTCTGACCACAGCACCACTCCTGCAGTGGCCTTTCCAGTCCTTGAACGTGAGTCCTCCCTGGCTTGATGGCTTTCTGCTTGAGCTTTAAGAGTGTAAACACACGGAGTAGACAGAACTTGTGACAGACACTTGGGGGAAAAAAAATATTATCATGGAGCATGTTAGAATTATTGGTTTTTGGATTGTGAGAGAGATGTGATTTAGGTCTACAAACCTTTATTAATATATACTACACCACTATTTGTGAAGAAAATATACTCCTACATACAGTAGTATATATATGTAAATTTCAATTTGAGTATTTTAATCTTTCACTACAATAATTATAGGTCTCTAGCTGACATTTTTGAATAGATAAAACCTGTCATTTGATGTTTTTTTTAATCATTAACAAAATGCTTATTTTTACTCCACTACAATTGATATAAGACATTGATATATGAATGACATGTGCTGGAGCACATGCCATTCTTTGTCTGGTTCAACTTATTAAACCAGAGATACAGGGTGATGCATACTCACTGGATTTACAGATATTGGTTCAACCTGAAGATCTGCTGCCCTTGTAAAAAATTCAGCGAGTCTGTGGAAATGGAATGTGAGTTAAGAACAAATTCAGAGCCAATAATGAGTCTCTGAAGACATCAAAAGTGAGAGAAAACACACAAAAACCCATGAAAAATTTATCAGGGTTTCATCATGCAGGCTTTCCATCAAAATGGGAAAATTAATCATCAAGAAGTTTATCTCTGTTATGTTGGACTATGTTACCAAGCGGAGAGAAAGAACTTAATAATTTACGCTGCCAAGCTTTGTTGAAGCTTTCACTTATTCTCTTAGGAAAGGCCCACATGCATTTCATATGAGAACCTCAGCAAACCAACGTAAATATCGGTTTGGGCAAAAATACATGACCAATGAAATCAGATATGAATCACCATCTTTTACCTCTAATGGGGAAATATTAGATATTATTCAGTTTTTATAGAAAATCCAAAAAGATTGACATTCGTTAAGCTAAAAAATATAGAAAAAAAAATACTTAGGTGTAGAGCCTTAGTCCTTCAACTGTACTACAGAGAGAATGAAGTAGGATAGATTTGGTCTTTGAAATACCAATAATACTGCATGAGAATTCACACCTATAGACATCACCATGAAATCAGTTTCATTTTGATCTTATATTACTCTTATTTATGTGCCCTTAATTAATTCTAAAACAATGTTGCTTACTTTTTTATAGACCAGAAGTAATTACTTGGGAAGTAGAATCATTGGTATTCAGTTTGTTGTGGAATCCAATTTTATTTTAGATGGAATTAAAAAATAGTGCATTGTTTGTTTAAATAAAAACAAAAAAATAGTAAATGTTTAGGTAGTAACGTGGAGAAGTCCCTCCTGTAACAACAACAAAAACAAACAAACAACAACAAAAAAAATAACTCCACGACATGAAGCCTCCATTCCTTTGCTTCACAGTTTTAAAGAAAGTTATAAAAAATTTGTTGGGTAGTTAGCAAATACAAATAGACAAAAAAAAGAAAGGTCTAGTCTGATTTAAGATCAAATGGCGCTAAAGATGTTCTTGTTTTAAATCAGAGACAATTTCTTATGTGTCTGATTGCTCTTTTTCTTTCCATCCATATGTCGGTTCTCTAAGGTTACTACCACAACACAATCAGAGGCGTCGTATCTGCCGGCTTTTATTTTTTTCGTAAAAACGAACCAACTGCAGCACCTAGTTTGGATGATTTTCTCATTTCAACAATGAACAGAAAGAAAATGGCCAGAGGCCATTATTTCAGAGACTGGTTTTGTAAAGGTGATCATAAATTCTGAGATATCATGTTAGTTCTTTTCCTGTTTCTTGGGAGGAACTTTATCCCAATTTCACATCTGTGTTTCAGTTGTCGAAACTCCTGTGTTTATCTTTGGCTAAGCAACATTTTAGTTTTTTGTCAAGAATCTGCTTGATTTGCAGGTATGATTTGGGTCCTTAACCGAGGATAAGCCATCATATCTCTGAATTCAAAATGTGACACAAGGAGATGAAAAATACATTTAAGATTTGACAAACTGCTACTGAAGACGATTTTGTTATTTAGAGTGAAAAAATGGATGCAAGAGACTTTCTCACTTTTGTCTCACAGCTCTCCATCCCTCGCTCTTCTCTTTCTGCCCTCCCTGCTGCAACCCTGGATACTCAGCCAACTATGACCCTGTGTGGGGAGAACTGGGAAAAATCAAGCAGTGGAAATGGACATGCTGCCATTAATTATGACCAGGCAACCCTCACAATAATCCAATGAGACAGCTGTTTAATTGCACTAACCTTAAGCCATTCTTCTTCCTCAATGACTACCAAGAAGCCATTTTGACCAAATTAAAAGCAGAAAGAAAGTGATAGAAGGGAAGTTATAATGGTTAGATTTTTTATATTTATTTGTGCTTTTATTTTCATTTTAGTTGTACTTATTGTAAAAAAAAAAAAAAAAAGTAATCAATGAACATAATAAGAAACAGTTGTATTTATAATTTACCTGTGGAAAAAAAAATAGAATGATTCCCACTTTCAGAGAGTATGAGATTGTTGGAAATTTTAGAGCGAGAGCCAAGGATCAACTCCATGCCCTGAAGAAAAACAGTGTTCAGTGAAGAGGTCATAAAAAGCAAAAAAGGTGGCAGGGTCAAAGCATCATCTCTTTGACCTTTTTAGACAGAATGAATGACCTACAGTTCACAGCTATTCATACAAAAAAAAAAGAAAATAGAAAATTATCAGTCAGAATCCAATTTTCTTCCTTTTAGACATAGTGGTGCCTACAAGGTCAAATTGTTCCCATATAGTAAAGGCTCGCACAGGAGAAATTGAATTGCTTTCGATTGTCAGTATTAGGAAACCTTAAGGTTCAGCAAACTGATATCCCCTCACTGTACTATTAACAATTTAATCTGTTGCTTACAGAGGAGCAAAAAATAAAAGAAATCCAAACTCAAAAAGGTAATCATGCGTGCTCTGATAATGCTGTGAGCAGATAAACTGTTTCAACCACACCAGCAACCACCCTTAGCTCTTATGTACATATGTTAAACAGAATAGTGTTACAGCATTACCCTCAATAATTCAATGCTTTGAAAAGGTATTTGAACCCCTTTTTTTTCCAGTTTTTATCTTTTTGTCACATGTACATGGTTTAGCAGGGCTGGCTGTGGCTGTCTGAGAGGATTGTATGTGTAAGTCAACAATAAGTGGAGCTATGTTGCAAGTTGGAGAGCAGTTGGCATAAGAGCGTTGGGGAGGTGATAACGGGAGCCAGAGCTGAGTAGGAACAAAAGGTTGAATCTGGGCAAGTCGGAGAGGTTGAGGACTCAGGAAGGCATTAAACCAGAAGCTCAGGGAGACAAGGAATTACTCTGGAGGTCAAAAACACAAGGACAGATTTAACTAAGGTTAGATGGCATTTCTACAAAGTAGCTGAATTGAACAATCTTTCACAAAGGAAAGAGAGCAGAGTTGGGGTTAATAAACGACAGACTTAACCAATGTACGCCAAATTGATTTTCTTGAGCAAATCAATTTGTTGCAGAGACGGCAACTGAGTTATTTTTCCTACAGAGACGCACATACACAGACGTATACACGCAGACACAAACAACGTTCTAGCAGGGGACCTAGAACAAGGATGCACATGGGAAGAGAGACCAGAGGAAACAGCAGGAATGTGAATAAAGCACAGCCAAGGCCACAGCAGAAAATCACCTGAAGTACACAATGTCACATTTGCTGGGTAGAGCAGTTCATTAGTTGTGTACATGACCACATGTTTTAAATACTAGTTTTCTTTTTCCTTCAGAAGTTGAGTTTTTAGCAAATACCTGCAACTTAATTATTTTTCTCTAAACACTACTCCTGCATGAAATATCTATTTGACATCTAAATCTGCCTTCTTTCTTTATATTTGTGCAAAATATATATTCAAATTAAGCTGGTGCTGTTCTACTCACAACTGTTGTCTCCTAAACAGGAGCACATGCAATTTATTGCTAATTATATTGTGACAAGCAAAACGTGTTTAGAAGTGAACGGCATCCTAGCTTTGTCAATGAGTACACTTAGAAACTGAGTTGTGCAGCGAACTTTACCACCGACTCTGAATCAGCCCCAGACCCAGTGCTGTCTAATTAGCTAATTACTTTACTAATGCTAAAAAATGCAACATTAAAACTTGAACTGTAACCGTGACAGAAAAATTTACCAAGAGCAGAAACATGGCACGCCGCAGATCAAACCCCTTGTTTACTGGTTACACAGCACAGATGGCGTGGACTCATGAGGGTCAGTGAGTGAAATAAATATCTGCTTCTCTTTTATAAATTAATGAAAATTAGTGGAATTTTTCACTTCAGCAGAAAATTATGTAGATTTATATTCCTCATGCTAATTGCCCAGGAACTGTCTACTTGTCACTCCAAGTTGGCCATTTCATTAAACTCGCTGGCAAACTCAAGTTTATGTTATAGAAATTATTCTGAACAAATCTTAGGAGTTTCTTGATTAAACAACTTTAAAAATCATCTGCACTCCTAGTGCAGCAGCCTTATTTTGCAAAGTGTTTTTTGCTAAAGGCATAGTTTTGTCAAATGGCTGAATCACCCGCTCAGTTTGCAGCCAAGTTCTCCAGAGTCCTGATAATGACCTCATTATTTGACTCAGGTGTATTAAAGGAGAAACACATCTAAAAGTTGCAAGACACAGGTCCTGGTGGCCTGGATTTCAAGACCCCTGATATCAGGGATCAGCAATTTAATACCTCACTGCTTTATTTGTAAATCAAACGATACCAGAACACAAAGGGCTTACTGGGGTCAACACCGATACTGCATGCACACACAACACAATGCTTAGGCGTTCAAATGTCAAAATATTAAGCTGATTTATGTTTCTTGATTACTTGCTCCACTGTGGCCAGGTGCGTGTTCTTATCTTTTTCTCTGCTTTGCACTTTGCTGCGTTGGACAACAAATGCTAACTATATTAGAAAAATGTGGTCAGGCTATTCATCACTACTAGTCTTGAGCTTGCCCCCCAGAACGACAGTCTGATCAGCTTGGCACTCACCCACACAGTTTGCCACTGCCTTCATGTTATTCAATTCTCTGTTGTTTAATTGTACAATGAAAAGTCTGCTTATACAAGAAAAAGTAAATTGAACTTCCTTTTGACATTTTGATTGCTATTTGAAAAACTGGCTCCGTTAGATTGATGCTTGACTTTCTCTACATAATGTGATTACCCATCAGACATTTCTCTTTTCATTGTAATTTATCAAAATTTTATTGATGACCCCCATACGTTAAAACTGATTTGCAATTTCATTGTGTGGTGGAGGAAATTCTTACTTGAAGGAACAGATCTTGCGTGCTACCAAGAAACTGTTGAGTGGCTGTTACGTTTCAAATTAAGGTTTTGTGTGATTATTTGGAGAGTGGATGTCCAATAATAGGTTTTATTGGTTCAAGTCAGTCAAATCTGTTTGCAACTTTATCAGCATTCCTGAGACCTTAGAGATCCAATTCAACAGTCAGTCTTTCAAAATAAGAGAGTTTCTGGATCCTCTCCCGGCAGCATCTGGCTCAAATTGAGCCCTGTGCACTACTGCAGAAACTAACACCCATGGTCTTTCTTATCTTAGGATTATGACGCATTCAGTGCCAGAGAAAAGAAATGACGCACCTGGATTTGTTGCTTTGCAAACTGCAGCCAAATGGCATTGTGCCCTTGACACAGCTTCCAAAGCTTTATATTCTCTCAAATATTCTAGATAAGTTTTCCAAATGAGAATTTTCTGCAAAGAATTTCAAATCTCTTTCCAGTGAAAAACTCACAATAAATTGAACCACAAACACTAACAAACAAATAGACGGGAATCACAGAATTATTGAATATATTACTTTTATGAAGAATGGAAAACAGACTTCTATTTCACAAAGGTGAATATGAAATGTGAGTGTTTGAAATCCAATAGTCAGTGAATGCAGCATTTTATCAAAATTCAGAGCAACTTCTGCACCCTCCTTAAGGGGAATGTCACCGAGCAGAGATCTGCAATCCAAAAATATTTTATGTTCACCAAGCAAAAAAAAACTTAAAAAAGGACTAGCCCATCAGCTGAGGAATAATGAAGTTCATATTCAGGTGAAGCAAAAAAGGCCGGTGCTGATGGCAAGAGTGATGGAGAGGCAATAATCACTGTGGCAGAATTTTTATTTACCTTTC